TGTATAAAATATAAGTGATGTCAACTACGACTATCGACAACTATGGCTGTATAACGCTGTTTTAAGAGACGTTTAAACATACCCATGTGCCAACAAAGAATAATCCGCCCTGAATAAAGCATCGTGCGCCTTCTTCCGCCCACGAGACAAAGCTGGAACAATGGGCTCTAACTAGCGCGGTCTTTAGGGCAAGTCTAAACGAGGGGCTTAATGAAGGTATGGCCAAGTAGGAATTCATTAAAAAATAATAGACTTAGATTTTTTTTTCTAATAATAAAACAGTATTTTCATTGAATTGATTTTTTTTTCTCTTGATAAAGCGGTAGTTTCGTAGAGTTGGGCTCTCTCGCTTGACTGAACATGTTGAAAGTTCTATTCCCAGCCCAATAACAGTGAATTTTTAAAAAAATATTGAAATCTATTTTGAAAAGTAGGTAAACTTTTCTTAGGCTGGTTTGAATCTTTTTTAAAAGGTGCGACTGAAAGCTTTGAACATTTTTATTGATTGCCCAAACTAGGATTCGAACCCACACTGCAGCTTTAAAATTAATATAGCCTAACCTACAAGGAGATGCTATGCCAATAGAGGCATCGATCCGATGGTAAACTTTTTGAACAGAAGTCCTCAATAACGTAGCATTAAGTCACTCAGCAAGCACTAGAATATTTAATGCACTTGTGAGTACCACTTGAAAAGTGCATTTCATAAATAGACGAAGTATAAAAAGATGGTTTTTATGCTATAGATGTTGCGAACCCACAAAGATAGTAGGTACAGTTCGCTGAGCTTTGCATTCGTGTGAGTACACATGAATAGTGTAGGTGTAGTTTTTATTACCGCTTTTTGGCAATCTATTTGAGGCGCAAGATCTCTGTCGCACTTCATCTCTTGTACTGGCAGCAGCGTGACGTGTTTAATTCTTAGTAGGTTTTTGACTGACTCCCACTCGACATGGGGCACACTGAAAACCAGCGTCGTGGCCTTCCTCACAGGGGGCCACGGCATATGCTGAGTGGGGTCCCATTGCGATGGACATCGTTGTGCATCGTTGTGACATCTGTATAAATCAACAATTGAGACGTAGTTTACTTGGCACAAAAAAGTATAAGGCTGATTTGTACCATCTAACTTTGAACGTAAATGTAACGATAACCGGTATTTTTTGTATTGAGTTTGACAGATTTTTGACGTTTGTTAAAGTTAAAGGTGGCACAGTCACTGCTCAGTTTACTTTCTCTTCCATTATATGTTTTATGTCACCTCTGTCTTATTTGCTTTTTTTATTTACATTTTTTGTCTTTTGTGATGTCCATGGCAATAAATGTTTCTTTCTTTCTTTCTTTTTTTTTGTGTTAAAATTTTTCATATAATTTTTTTGCGAATTTTTAAAGCTTTTTTGTCTGATTCTACTTTTCGTGATCACTAACACAAATGCAAAGCTTAGCTTACGCCTCGTGAACTGTACCTACCTACGTAGCATATTATCTAATACCTCTACATAATAGTGCTTCATAGCTATCATTTGATATTCATGAAGCCTTATAAGGTTCAAATTACAATCCCGTCGGTAAACTATATCGGATAATATCGCTATAATTGGGGGTAAATTAGATTCCCGCTACGCTTTGAAATTATCCGCTCTTGTACTAAATGCAGATTATACTAAAGCTGGATAGAGCTAATATTGAAACTGTTTCAGCTCAAAATGCTATTTTGCAGTTCCTGATTTATGCGAAAATGCATAATCCTGTTCAATAAATTGAATCTGTCGTCGCCATCATAATATGCCACGATTTTCACATCGCCCAATTAGTAGCGACCTGTATAACCTGTATTGTATCCAGCGCCTTCTTGCTATCTCCATAAAAAATAAAAGACATAATAATTAAACGAATAGTATACTGAAAAATGGCTATATTTATTTTATAACTATTATTTATTTTCAGCTAAATAAATCTCGATTCGACTCGGTGTTTCTTTACGAGATCGAATCAGAAATGAGGAGATCCGTAAACAAACTAAAGTCGCTGACTTAGCTTGACGGATTAGCACGCTGAAGTGGCAACGGGCAGGGCACATAATACGCAGGACTGATGGCCGATGGAGCAGCAAGGTTCTGGAGTGGAGGCCGCGTCCCGAAAAACGCAGCGTGTGACGTCCACTCACAAGGTGGATCGACGACATCATAAAGGTAGCAGGATGGCGCTGGACGCAGGCCGCTACCAACCGGGCAACATGGAAAGCATTTGGGAAGGCTTATGTTCAGCAGTGGACGTCTTATGGCTGAGATGAGGATGATGATGAAATAAAACTCAATAATAAAATTGTTCACAACGTTTTATTGCACCGTGTAACCTTTGTATAACAATTGTTATCAAGACCGTCTTAAATACAGTGCGACACTGCAAAATGTACACTTTTGGCCACACTTATTACTTAAAAGATAATTTAATAATTTAGTTACAACGATGACAACAACCAGAGTCCTTTTCGACACAGCGGCTGCAGCGCTGCCTTAACTCTACACGTCTACATAAAAATAATAAAGCGCTGTTTTTTCAACTACAACAAAAAATTCATTATGTAAAATTCTTTCATTTTAATATTGAAAATTATTTAGTTGTATACTTACAAATTACTGATGAAAATAGACTGCTGTTTTTCTATTAGACTAGACGCAGATCACCGATTTTTAGTTGGCCGATAGTTGTGCCTGATTTTTAATTGTATGAAGAATCGGCCAAATCAAATCGTTGTAATGTGTGCACTTCCATCCATGGCCATGCTGATCAACTACCCGACTAAACTATCGGCCGACGAATAATCGATGGTCTGCGCCTAGGCTTATAGTTGTTGCAATTCACGAAGGCGAGTGAGCTTTACATGTGTGGTGGCTCGCTACTGTTAGTTTTTCAAAAGTTTTGACAGACATTACACTATCGTTATGTGCATGTACACGTACACACACAAGTAAAGCTCACTTGCCTTCGTGAGTTGCAAGAACTATACACAGAATACATGTTTACAGTTGAGTTATAGCGATAGTAACAGATGACAATCACCTGTATCCAATACCAATACTCGTATTTTATCTTCATTTTGCTTAGATTACGCACGTCGCACACTGACGCGTGTCTCAAGCGGACGGCATTCGCGCTTGCAGTGGTTTAGAATGGTCTACGACGCTTCGCGCGCATCGTGTCCGTGAATTTGGTCTATGTGTGCGTTATCTGAACGTAATTTGTATGAAGATTGTCTTCTGCTCCTATCTATTTTATGTCTTGGCCTGCAAGCTAAATTCAGCTAAAAAATTTCCGATACCCGTATAGTCCAGTCAAATTAGACATGAACCCTGCATTAATTCGCATACAGCTGAAAATTGGTACGAATGTTCGGAGCACTATTATGAATTAACTGTGAAAAGTCCCCATCGATCCGACATGTGGTAAAAAAAAATTAAAGGTCAAATTTAAAAAATACGGGTTTTTGAGATTTTCAGCTAAACGGTAAGTTTTATCACAAAAATATGTATGACAAGGTTTAAGACCATACAATTGGATGGATTGGATTTATGTGTAAGACCGTTATGAAGAAAACACTTTTTTGACTCTTCGGATCATCGAATCTCAGAAACGCTGACTCTTAGGAGAAAGTGTATAGACAATTTTGATATATAATTGTATGGTCTTAAACCTTGTCATACATATTTTTGTGATAAAACTTACCGTTTGGCTGAAAATCTCAAAAACCTGTATTTTTTAAGTTTGACCTTGAATTTTTTTTAGCACATGTCGGATCGATGGGGACTTTTCACAGTTAATTCATAATGGTGCTCCGAACATTCGTACCAATTTTCAGCTGTATGCGAATTATTGCAGGGTTCATGTCTAATTTGACTGGACTAGTAGTAGGTTACTTACTTTACAACTATAACTACCTATTGTTACTATAACAATACAATATTATTTTTACAAGATAACTTAAATACACTTCTCTCATTTACCCAACTGCATAAAAGAGGGTTCGAAAATATTTAACATCACTTTCTAAGCTACCTATATCTAAGCAACAAAATTTAAGAATCATAGCTGATGCTATTTTTATAAATGAAAAGTTTTAAACTATATTTACATTTAATAGAGGAAGCTCATAGAAGAAGCACAACACAGAGTAAGTAATTTTTACTATAGATTTATCGATTTTCTATAATATTGATCTATGTGACTCTATACAATGTTTAATTTCGAGCAAGTAATGTATTATGAAGTCTATGGCATTTCATTAGATATTTTTTAATCTTACCCAAGATTAATTAGAAAATTTGGGGTTTATATTCACTAACATTAGTATTATTTTTACAATATTATGTGTATTTTACTTAATAACTTAAGAAAAAGATTTAGTTTTGTAAAAGACATTTGGCAATTTTCACATAATTATTTTTTTCACATAAGAACCCAAGTTATTTATATTTTCAGTTTAGAAGATCGTTTTGGAAACATACTAATCACCTAATCTATAAAAGGGAAAATTTGAAAACTTAATTTATAGTAGAAAAGTGTAAAATTACCCTGGAAAAGAATAAATCCTTCCAAATGGTTAAAATTTAAAGCTTAGAATATTGTTAGAAGTAAATGACTTTGAAATGTACATTGGACTTATATTCATAAGCAATACGAAGTCTTAAAATAATTGAGTAGTAGATGAAACTTTTTTGGCAAGATTAAATTATTTTACTAAAATATTTCATTTGATTAAAATGGCAACCAACAATTTACATTACAAACTTATTTCATACAAATTGCAGACAAAAATTACATTACACAAAAATCTTTTATTACGGTTTCATACCTGACTTCTTTAGAAGTGCGTGATACTTTTAATAAATCAAAAAAATAATTTCCATAATACGCGAAAGATTTCATAATATTGAACGTTCCACAAAATTTTCATTTATAATTTGCAACATTTACCAAAACTTTAATCTATCTTCACTTATTATCCAAAACATCAAAAAGTGTATCAGTCCATTATACGCTTGTTCGATAAGATATTTCTTTAAGAACAGTTATTAAGGAAACCCTACAATTTTCACTTTTTGATACTGCTTTCCAATGGTCTTAATATCCATCTATCATTGTTCAATACATTATCTAATGCAACGCTTATCTTTTTGTCCACACCATCATTTTAAGAGTACACAAAGAAAACTCAGTATTTTGCAAAAGTTCTAGAAACTAGTGCTAAGCAACCACGCAACGGTTCTCATGAGACCCTGCCCCACCACCGGTCGAGGAGTCTGGAGGAGGCTCTGCGTTCCTCCCCCCACCACTCCACTCCAATGCATCTATCATCTCCATAAGTTCTTTGAAAACTGCTATAACCCTCCAATTGTATTTGGCAGAACACTCCACGTAGCCGCACTTCCAGTGCTTTCGAACCAGATTGACGATGTTACGACGCTTCTCCCTGGAGTCACCACAAGCGCTTTCAGCGATTGCTAGCTGCTGCAGACCGCTAGCAGCAGAAGGAGTGTTACTGCACAGCAAATCCTGCTTATTACCCACAACCAGAACGGGCACGTTTCTCATGTCTCTGCTCTCTACCATCTGGTCTCGCAGCGTTCTGATGTACTGGAAAGTCTCCACATTCGATAAGTCAAAGACAAGGATGTATGCTGTGGCATTCCGAAGACCATAAAAGCGGTAGTGGGCCCATTCATAGTACGAGTTGATGGGGAAGTAAGGGATGACAGGTACATCAGTGATCTTCACTTCGTACAGGTGCTCGTTGATGATCACCGAAGGGTAAAAGGTGTGCTTTCTGTCAGTCGGCAGGTAATCTTCTGAGAAATCGCTCCACACGAATTGCTGTGGACAAAGAAGCAATTTAGAGACTCATTAACTAAATCTAATTTTAGGTAGACTAAATTGGGGTTAATTAAAACAATAGGCAGTTTAATTAAGCGTCTAGACCTAATTACGGGAGCATTAGGATTTTACTCCGCTCTCGCTGAAATATGGACTTTTGTTAATATTATTTTAATTAATTCTGTTCGCAATTTTATGGAACTAAAGTAAAAGTTCGGGGTTGACATATAAAACTTTTGATGAAAATTTTTGCTCAACCTTGTTGAAAGTTAGATGTTTTCCAAAAAGGAAAATTGACTTTTTTTACATTGAACCCAATTAAAACCTGGATCGTCCAATTAAACTTTGCGATACAAATTGCTGAAACATGTTTCGTAGGGACTATTTTTGAAACGGTTGCTGTCTGTTTTACTAATTAGACGTTTGTTTATTCGTAAATAAGCTCAAATTTTCATTGATATATATAGCCCATCAAGTAATGATATTTATACGAGTATATCTGTAAAAATGTTTTACATACAAACACCGAGGTCGTCGGTTCTTTGAACTCTATACCCTATACCTATGTAATACGAAGTTTGCCAACACGTGTTATATTTTCGAAAACCACAATATAATTATATTCTACGTTTCGTCGCTTCGGCTTACTAAGTAGGTACTGTTATTATTTGTCTGGTATATTTAATATCGCTATTATGTTGAAGGAATGAAATTAATTAAATAATCTAAAAACTAAACTGTTGGCTTAAAAATCTGGAAAAATTCACAATAATTATAGTACTTTTTATGAACTTTCCAGGAAAACTATAACGGTTAAGATAGAAAAGTTAGTTAGAGTAATAGTAGTTTAAGTCATGTATTACAAAAGTTCATATCTAATAAAAATTCCTTAGAAGAAAATGTTAAAAGTGACTTTAGATGAAGTAATTGCTTGCTTCTGAAATATATTGTGTTAACACGGACTACAACGGAACCCTACACTGCGCGTGGCACGACACACACTTGGCCAATTTTTTTGTTTTTAGTTGCGATTTTTGACAAACTGTTAGAACTTTTTGGACAATAATTATAATTCCGTAATTTTGAGCAGGACTTTGATTTCCGCGCTTAACCTCTATCAGTTGTCCTTTACAACAATCATACACCTACTGCCTTAATTACTTCAATCTCTCCCGTCTTCCCAAGCTACAAGGTTCAAATTCGTATATAAATTAACCAGCTGGGCTACTCCTAAACGCAGCTGTTCGACTAGTTTCTGGTATATCTGTCACCGTCGCTCATGCTGACATCTCGCTTCGCGTGAGAGCGATGGCAACATTCTAAACTTCGGAAAACGTTTTTCGAAGTAACCCCACTGAATAAGCTGACGTGTCAGTTAGATTAGTCTGAGGAGCTAACTGGCTCGGGGATCCGAACCCATTAAGGCCAGTCTTGACAGATTAGCAGTTGTTTAGCCTCCATTTGCGAGCTAATCTGACCTTTAACTCGCAGCTGAGAGAGCTATTTGTTGTACAGCTTAGCTAATCACATTGTTTTGTGATCCTTTGATTTAAAGTATAGACTTTAGTTTAAGTTTAGAATATATAACTTTGCGTTTTTACTAAAACCTCCATGGTGTGATGGTTAGAAAGTTGGACTACGTTAGATTTGTGAGTACTGGGTTTGACCAATTCACATGTGGGGCAGAAATTGAATAATCACATTATTTTCCCAACTTTATGGTACGACCGACACATTTGAAAACACTAATGTAAGTAAATATACCGCAACACAAACTACTTTGCATTTTGGGTCCCTGTGGACTAATCAAATACATGAAAACTATGAAAAATAAATATACATAATAACTAGATTACGGTATGCAATACAGCATTGGGAATTGAATAAAAATACTTGACTTTGTCCTTGAATATTTTAGAAAAGAATAGGTATGGTCTTTTACACCCTTATGGGCTTGTATACCTACTACTTGTATTACATAACAAAACTAACGCCCACCTATTTCTATGGAAAATCATTGAGGTGGCTAATATATTCATGGAATATCTGATAGCACAGAGTTGAAAATCCATGGGAATAGTCTATGGGTATTAGATTTGTAAGTACCTATTGCCAAAGGTTCAGTCCCTTCCTTTGAGCAGTTCTGAATGAGAAACGGCAAGTTGTGGTAACATTCTATTTAGGTACCTCCTTATAAAAGCAAAATATCACTCACTGATTAATCACGATATCTCAGTAACTGTAACACCTACAAACTTGGTTCCTTATATTTTATAAGGTGTAGACATCCGCTAAGAACGAATTTTACGAAACTCCACCCATAAGGGGGTAAAACGGGGTCCACGCGTTCGAAGTCGCCTACCTCTATTTCATTTCGTTAATGAATTGGAAATTGGAACCATGTGTGCGTACTCACGAGTTTAAACTAGTAAATTAGATAAATGAGATCTAATTTGATTTCCGATCGTGTTTGACCGAGGAAACGATTTAGAAGTGTTCACTAATTGATTATAAAGTTGAGTTTGTGGTGAGTGGAAGTTTCATTATAAAAGTATAAATTGACTAGCGGCCGCCCGCGACTTCGTACGCGTGGATCCCGTTTTATTCCATTATGGGTTGAATTTTGCAAAATCCCGTCTTAGTTAGTACCTACGCGCCACAGATGGGAGGAAGCTTTGCTTGGCTTGAGAATAGATAGCACAGTGTTAACTGTCGAAGTACCTATTAAACATAGTAGAATATATAGTGTCTACTATGTATTTAATTATTTATTCGTATTTATGATGACAGTCGGCAGTCGTCAGTCGTCAGTCGTCAGCAACTATAGCAAAACATTTTAAAAGCCTTATAATGTACTAACTATATTGTATGTGTATTGAAACTCATCCATTATTATGAATAAAATCTATTTCTAGAATCAGTTTTCTAATTTCCCTGCAAAACGTATAGCGGGCAAATATTAATATTTTTCATATAGAAACATGAAAAACATATTAATATTGCGTCCATGGATGGAATGATGAGATGGGATATAATATGTATTGTGTACAATTCCCTTAATATTATATATCTGTTGCCAGTTTAGTTACGAATATGTAGGAATGAAAATAAGATGGTTTTCATGGCTTCGATCGAAGGCAGTCGTCGGTTTTTGGTTTTTATCTATTTTTTATTATCCTAGAAATACGGTGGCAATTGAAATTACGTTCAACTATTAAGACGTTTTATTCCTGCTATAATTTCACTTTAATGAACTAGCCAGAAGTTAGTTTATTTCAGCTAGAAACTGCACCGTTTAGCAGTAAAGTTCATAATTGGAGACTGAAAATTAAATTCATCTGCAGTGCAGAACAAAATCAAATTAATTTCGGAGGCGTTGGGGTATCAATATATTGTTTAGTGTTGTTGAGATATCGATAAAGTCAGTACACCATGGCGCTTGCAACAGTGCCGAAATATCGGAAACCCAAAATTAAGGTACATGGTAGCAATCCCGTCATTAATATTAATTAAAATCAGTAGAGTTTATTTTAGAAGACGTGGGCAAGTGTTATTTTTCTATTGTTGTGAAACGGTATTGTTTGCGTAGAATAGGTACATTTTGTCGAAAAGGCTATGGAGCATAGCCCTAGGGAAATGCGCAGTGTTGGTTTTATTTTCAGGCAGGCAATAGATCGAGGTAGCGAGCGAGGAGGTACATAAAACTTTTGCATATTCTCGACATAAAAGCATAATCCCATAACTATTATAGATTACAGTTACAGGAATTTATTGTAGTACGTTTTGGTTGATGTGTGCTATTGTTTTTTTTTCTACTAAGGCCCCAGTTTGAAACCGGTTTGAAATGGTCGCGTCATGTGTGGTCTCTCAACGGAAGATGAGATGCAACTCAAAAGTAACTAGAAGTTGCAGTTTCGTTGCAATTGCGTTTCACCGTGTATTCTGGGCCTTAGTAATACGAATTGAAATGTTGCTCTTATTGATACTCCTGACTTTGAAGCGTCCTTAATTCTGTTCTTAGGTACACACGTTATGCTCTCTTCGCTACGCAGCAGCCAGTAGCTCAGAACATTTAGTCATTTATCGATAGATTTTATCGCCACCGCACAACACTATATCAAACCAAATTAATATCGTGGCGCCAGATATAAAACATTTCGCTCCATTGGTCCGCTCAGATAGCTCGCAGCTTTTTAGGTTCAAAATTAATTGGAAACGCACGAATAAAGACTCAATTTCAGCTATTTTGTGCTATTTCGACGATGTATCGATGTGTTACTGAATGATTTTTTTGAATAAGACATTTCATAGTTTTAAAATGATCCAATTTCAATGTTGATGTTTTCAGCTTTGATTACTGTTTATGAGGTTTTTTTTGTGCCTTTTACAATATTGATATTTTAGTGAATAATTTTTGCGTTAGTGTATTTTGTAGAGTTCTGATTTTTTACGTTAATTTGGTTACATTTTAATATTTTGTTGATCTCAGCTATGTAATTTTGATGCCTTTGCTCACTTGGATTTTAGTCTGGACGACGAAAGTGAAACGACCATGCTACAAATTTTGACTATAGTGTAAAGTTAGACCGAGTTTCACTACCAAATTTTACCCGTAGTTTTAGCGATAACCGGTGTATTTTGTATGGAGTTTGATAGATTATTGACGTTTGTTAAAGTCAAAGTAATATAAAATGGCAACCTAGCCTTAGAAGATTGGCTCTACATGAGATCTGATAACTTTTTCATAGGGCGAGCCATAAAGTTAGTTGGTCTTAGCAACATTTTAGGTACATTAAAATGTTTTCGGTCTGACAATCGAAGGCTGGGATGCACCATCTTACTTCAACTGAGACAAACGTCAAATATCTGTCAAAATCCATACAAAAAAACGGTTATAATTATAGTTACGGTTAAAGTAAGGTGGTGCAACTCAGCCTAAAACTGAACTTTCAGGAACCTGACAAACTTATAACAGATTTATAAATCCTAGCTAGGTAGGTACCTCATAATTCGATACATGCACTAACCACTGGCTATAAAAGGTACCTCTATGTTCAACCGCTAACCGGTTATGGAAGCTAAATGAATTAAAGCCGACTAGTGAATATTTCAGAACCAATTACTAACAACTATCACTAACAACCTACGATATGTTATATCCTTTCACTAAAACAACAGGCATTCTGCCCATGAATATCCCAGAAATGTATTCCAATATTTTACCTACGTAATACCAGGTGTTCAGATTTGCGCGAAAAAATCCGATCCTATTTTGTTCTGTGGAAATCATTCGACATTCTGTCCCAAAAACATTGATGTTACTCGCCTGGAATACAGAAGCGCATGGTTTTTGACTGTGGAATTTTAGGTAGGTACGTTTTTTATTTGAACTGGTGAGAGAAATACGAAATCGTTCAACATTTTCAGATACTTAAATGTAGCTAGTCTGATTTTTGTTTTTATTTTTTAGAATTTTAACTGTTTGAGAGTTATAAAGACATTCTAAGTACTCTACTCTACTCTACAAACTGTGCAAGTGTAATTATGTATTTTTCTTCATTGTAGATATCGGTGCGTCACAGTTTTATTTAAATAAAATGTGATTGTAAAATCCTCACTATTCTGTCACATTATTTTTGATATTTATCAATAACTTTGTAAGCAATATCTCAATCAGCACACGCTAGTAGTAATAAATAATAATAAGTATTTGAATAAGACGCAAAAATATTATTTTTAAACGAACAATAAAACAATAAAATACTTTAGACGTGTCAAAATTTTCAAACACCCTCTATACCCCGACGTCCTGTTAACGGCCTCAGCGTAATTCGAGATGACATTCCCCTAATTTCGGGTACAGGGACGTATTAGGTCCGGGATAATTACGTGTCCAACATGAATAAAAAGGGTTCCGTAGGTTATTATACGGTTAATTCGCGTGGTTTGCGGTCAGAGAGGGTTTTAGGAATAAGAACTTGATTAAAATGGTTGTGGTCAGCTAAGGGATGGAGTTTTGAAAGGGAATTAATTGTGAATTTTATATGATCTCAGTATAAATTGGTTCTTTTATAAGTATTGTGACACTCTAACATACTTTTTTACATACTTAAATTTATGTATCTACTTCTTAAAACACAGTTATACTTTGAATGCCATTATAGGCTTTCAAAGCTATAGGCTAGGCTTATTTTGTTATTTCTGCTTGTGGCTTCGTATGTTACATTTCAGTCACATAAAAGCTTATTATACTTATTTGGCTAACCAACTTATTTCTCAGAAGTTATCTTAAGGTTCTGTTTTAATATTTTGAGAACATAATCTTACGCCCGTATTCACAAACATTACTATGAGGTCTCAAAGTGCGCGTGGACGCACAGGGCAGGGTGACATATGAAGTAATATGAACCAATCAAAGAGCTCTATTCAACGCTGTGCGTTCGATTTGCTGCTTCACTTATGCAAGCATCGTTTGTGAATACGGGCGTAAGTCTTCTAAATAGTTAGGTTTGCTGATAAAAACTATAGCCAAGTAAAACCTTCACTCAGATCTCACTCCCAATTAACTAACATTATGCTTGAATTTATGATTAGGAACAATTCGTGGTTGTGATTAGGAACATCTTCTAAGCTTCAAAAAACCAACGCGTGCCATGTCGCCATCGCCGATGCAATCATAGGCCAATGGCAGGTCGCACGTCCTGTTATTCGAATATGATCGGATCGGCAATGGCGATCTGCACGCGTTGGTTTGGTTGAAGCTTAAAATACTATGGGATCAATATCAACAGCAAAAACATGTGGTTGAAAATACATACATCAACATTACCTGTATAATACTAGTCTTGCCCACGGCTGGGGCGCCCAAGAGCACCACTTTGATGAGGTCCAGGCTGTCGGGACTTGGCTCCACGCTGGGAGCCCCCCCAACCGTCAGGGTGCCTGCGCCCCCCCTCTCCAGGTAATCCAAGTCCAGTTCTGTAACAAGAGAGTTACCAATAAATACCAAAGGTAGTTCAATGCCCGTTTTTTCCATCAATCCCTAATTTTTAAGTGACCCCTATGAAAACAAAATTCATGATGTGTTACCGAAACGCTAGGGGTCACTTAAAAATTAGGGATTGATGGTGAAAACGGGCATAAGATACTTGAATTGTAATAATTGAATTAGAATTCAGGAATAAGATGACGAAAAAAAAAAAAAAAACCGGCCAAGTGCGAGTCGGGCTCGCGCACAAAGGGTTCCGTAGCAGNTCGTGGTTATGATTCGGAACATAAAACCAACCATCCAGCCATCGCCGATGCGATCATATTCGAATGACAGGACGCGCGACCTGTTAATTGATCGCGCGTCCTGCCATTGGCCTATGATTGCGTCGGCGATGGCGATCTGCACGCGTTGGTTTGGTTGAAGCTTTACATACTATGGGATCAATAGCGACAGCAAAAACATTTGGTTGAAAATACATCAACATTACCTGTATAATACTAGTCTTGCCCACGGCTGGGGCGCCCAAGAGCACCACTTTGATGAGGTCGAGGCTGTCGGGACTTGGCTCCACGCTGGGAGCCCCCCCAACCGTCAGGGTGCCTGCGCCCCCCCTCTCCAGGTAGTCCAGGTCCAATTCTGGAACAAGACAGTTACTATTCAATACTAAAGGTAGTTTATTGCCCGTTTTTTCCATCAATCCCAAATTTTTAAGTGTATACTTGAATTGTAATAATTGAATTAGAATTCAGGAATAAGAGAGGGTTGTTTCGTTTTACAATACCATCGGCCGTTAAATATCAGTGTAATTCAAAAGCTGATCCGAAGCACTAAGTTTGTGATTGATATTCAAACTCACATTTTCTAGGCATTTACAAAAAAGTAAATGTACTAGTGAATATTTATACGTTACCGGTACGATTGTACCCATAAAGTACTTGTATTATTAGCTTTGCTTAGTTTGGGATTAGATGTCGCGGTGTAAAATGTCCAATGTTATTGCTATAAACAGATGTTAGTCAATTTAGAGGACCCAGATATTACACCGCTTACTTGGTCCGATATTGGATACGAAATCTTTTTAAAGAAATGTCCAATAGTTATAATGAACTAGAGACCAAAAATCTAGCCCCTTAACCTTAAACCTATCCAGAAGTTTGGACTGCACCCAAGAATAGCTGTGTCAATTTAATATTTTCTTCAATTTACCTCACCTTTATTTTGTACGTAAAACTTTCTAATAGTACTATAAATCTGTTTTAAGTAGTTTTTATCTACCTTTATCAAACACCAAATTTGTAAAACCATCTTAATAATTGACGGGCTCTTTGTAAAGGCACAACTTTCTACTAAGGGTGGTTGGTATAGCCCAACTTTCTGACTATCATGAACTACAACTTTAAGCACTTAGAATTTTCTTTGAGCAACTACCTACTTCATTATTTCTTTATAAAATATTGTTTTACAAAAGAGGATAGTCGCTTTAATAGTGCAGCTTTCAAGACAAGCATTTGATCTTGTTTTCTTTTGACTTCAGTAATGTATCAAATTAGATTAAATAATGGAGATGTACAAAGCTAAATTCTTTATCCAATGCATTAATACTTAATATCTTGATCAATTTATTATTTTATAAGGGTGGGTAAACGTCGAACGATATAGTAGTGAAATTATGATAAATGCGAAAGGGAATTGCGTAACGGATCCGGGCCCATTCCCGGAAAAATCTCTAAAAGTTTCCCGGAAAATTTTCTAATTCAGAAAACAAAGAGCGTTATTCTTCCATGAGATTTTTATTACTAGCAAATTCCTTTGATATTGACCTGCAATTATTGAGGGTCATATGACAGTTTGACTTTTCACCGGCACAAACATGACCTTAATTGGTTGGGTTTTCATTGGCGGTCAAGCTGTTGATCCTGGTTACACAGGAGTTGCAGCGGTGGGAACGAGAGATGGGAATAGTCCTGCAAAATTTGGACAACACTACCTCTGTCCAGGTAGCTAAAGGTTCGTTCGTTCGTTTCAGCCGAAAGACGTCCACTGCTGGATAAAGGCCTCCCCCAAGGATTTCCACAAAGACCGGTCCTGCGCCGCTCGCATACAGGCACCTCCCGCGACCTTCACCATGTCGTCGGTCCACCTAGTGGGAGGCCTGCCCACGCTACGAATTCCGTCTCGTGGTCGCCACTCAAGAACTTTCCTGCCCCAGCGGCCATCAGCTCTACGAGCTATGTGCCCCGCCCGACCACTTGATTTTAGTGATTCTGCTGGCTATGTTAGTCAGTCACAGCTAGAGGTATCAATATAAAATAGATCCTGTGTTGTAGTTCGACCTCTAGTCCGACCTGTAGTTTTTTCTTATCTTTTCTTTACTGTATGTTACTTTCATAAGTGCCACCAGTGGTCAAAATTGAATAAAATATTTCTGATTTGATTTGATGTAAACATACTTCGACTCTATTTTGACTCAAGTAGGTATCCACGTGTATGAATTTAATTTCAGCCACAACTAGGAGTTTCAAGATTTAATTTGAGAAACAATTAACAAGGACTTCCAGGAAATTTTAATCAATCCGCTTTTCTGTTTAGAGGATTATATCAGCTAAGTATTTACAATTACTTAACTAAGTACTAGTATTTAATTTTCTGCTCTTCAATAGGCACCGTTCAAACTGTTATTTTCTCGAAAATCTTTTTGTAAGTTTGGCAATTTCTTGATAAATTTTAAAGATTCTACTCATTTAATATTGGCATTGAAGTGCCCGTATAAAAAAAAACTTGTAGCTTATTATGGTATGTTTATCAAATTAGGCGGCCATATTCTAAAAACTTAAAATATCACAATTAAAATACCTCAACATACAGAGTAAGAGACATCTTAATTTGAACCCAACCACACAATATTACATGCAAATTGACTCTCTACCTATATTGAGTTTCTTATCACCCTGTATACAATTAGAACTACGTTTTCCTCGTAAGATCCATTAAGACGAAGCCTACTTAATTTGGTACATTACCTCTTGTATTAGGGTAGGAAAGCAATACTGGGAACGATAAACAAAAGGTATTTTAGTAAAGGAGCTTACCTTGGACTAGTTTTTACTCACATCTTCTTATTTAATAAAGCTTAGATAGAAAGCGCATGAAAATGGAGGTAACTTTTAAGCTGGGTTGTACCATCTTACTTTAACTTTGACAACGTCAAAAATCTGTCAAACTTCATACAAAAAGCACCGGTTATCGTCATAGGTAGTTGCCGTTAATGTTAGGTGGTGCAACTCAGCTTGGTCCACTTGAAACCTCAAATCCGTTTTATTATTTTAATTAAGTAAAATGTCTTATTAAATAACAAATAATAATATTTTATAACTATAAAACTCTCCCACTTTCGAAAAAATTACCTATAATTGTATATTTTTCACAATGTTTTGACATATTAAGATTTTTGCCTCACTTTAGACGAAGCGTTTGTTTAAATAATATCCATCTAGGCTTTATAATTTACTTATACGTAATTTGTACTTTCATGTTTTGTAAGACTGAAACTAATGAATGCGGGTTCTGACAAGTTTTGATCAAACTTAACTGTATGTTCACCGTCGTCTGTAACTATGTCAAAGGTTTTTGGAAAGATAATACTCTTGAGACATTGATACAGTTTCATCAAAGACTTGATGTACGACTACACAAGCTGTGATAAAATAGCTTATTGTATCAAACATGGACTCATGTTTTCAGTGTTTTTGGTTGTCAGTCAGTCTGCTTGTCCCTACCCAAGTAGTCTTTGATGTAAATTGAATTAAATTGCATTGAATAATTATTTATTTAACTCATTAAACTCATTTATTTTTGCAAGTAAACACTTTTATACGTTCCAGGCCCAGTATTAACCCTACCACTGCTTCGACACAATAAAATGGGCCAGTGCTGAAAAGAAGCAGCGCAAGAAACTCAGTCGCTATTGCCAGCCTCTTTTTTAGTCCATCAATTTAACTTTTTTAAGGGTAAAGAAGAAATTGTACCTATAATTTTTGAGGTGAAATTAGCTACTTGAAACATTTTCAATTATGATAAAGTTGATCAAATATAAATAACACTGAAAGATAAGATATTTTTTTCTGAAATAATACAGTCCTCTGCCAGAACTCAGCTAAAAAAATATTTTTTATATTTCCAGCTAGGATGTCTGCTAAAAGAAATTGCCGAGAGCGACGCGGCAATTAACTTAGGAGTGCCTCTTGAGGTAATTGCCGCTTTTTAATATTTCATAGCCGATAGTGCCTCGTATTTATTCCTAGCTCGAGATGACTTACAGGTAAGAATTTATTACATTGATCATGAACCTATTCTTATAAAAATGTATAAGTATTTTAGTGTAATCAACTGTTGGCGAATCTATTGAAAAATTGAAATATAAATAAAGACTCGATAACGGTAAAAAGTTTAAAGCTGTGTTGCACCATCTTACTTTGATTTTAACAAACGTCAGAAAGCTGTCAAACTCCATACAAAAAACACCGGTTAGTTAAGGACAAAGTTAGGTGGTGCAACAACAAAATAAAAAAATATTCCTCAGAAATCTAAAGGACCTACTAATAAAAAAATGCTACTGCAGCCTAAACAAGTACTTCAGTGACTTAAACTTAAATTAAAAATATTATTGTATCCGTTACACGTTGATTACTAAATCAATCATTTAATTGCTAAGCCCAAATGGGTAACATGATGTACCTACTGGATAATACGATAACCACATCTTGTAAACATTCATGAAATGCAATAAACACATTTTGACTTTTGACTCAGCCTAAGTTCTTTGTGAGATGAGTCGAGGCAATCTGTCAAAATCGCAGGTGTAATCTCATATTATGCTAATGTATCAAAGATAGGTACGATTAAAAAATTGTTAAACCTTCTTCTTTTTCGAAGTCGGTCAAAAATCGCAATGGTTGACGGAAGAAATAATCGGATAATTATTACTATTATATTAATCTATAAACTGTATGATTTACAAAATAAAGAAAATAAAATGCAAAATGAACATAATATGGCGTCTTTGAACAACTCTATCTGCATTATAATCCAGCTAGGGTTTAGTTAGTGTGATGAGTCCGAGAAAGTTAAAAATAATTGTTAACTCGATCCCTAGGATCCTGCTCTTGGCTAGTTTTTAACTAGATCTCAGGATCTCGGTTAAAAACTAACCAAGAGCTGGACGTTGGCAATTAAATTACGGGAAAGTACGCTGCTTGAGGTAAAATTAAAATGTAGCTGCTTTTTAAATTTTGTAGCACTATTTTTAGCCCTGCCATAAATGATGTCGCATACAACTTTACTTACTCTGGACCAAAAGGAAAAAGCCGAAAAAGGGTCGGTTAGAAGATCTTCAATATTATCTACCTAGCTTTATGAAATGAAGACTAAATTAATTTCAGGATATTATAAATGTAAAATAAGTTTTTTTGATATGGTTTGTTTCATAGAGCCTTCATCATCATCATCTCAGCCACAGGACGTCCACTGCTAAACATAGGCCTCCCCCAATGCCTACCATGTTGCCCGGTTGGTAGCGGCATAGAGCCTTACCCGACCTTATTCTTTCTGCCCAGTGTAATATCTAGCTATCGTGATGCACATCCGTCAAAATCCGTCTCGTAGTAGGTATTTGGGTCAAGGAATACCAAACATAGATCCTTGCAAACTTCCGCGTTTATTGTTATAGGATTATCCCTACTAATATTATAAATGCGAAAGTAACTCTGTCAGTCTGTCTGTTACGTTTTCTTGCCTAAACTGGTTTTGTTGTATGGTATAGAGATAGTTTGAGTCCCGGGAAAGGACATAGGATAGTTTTTATACCTGCTAATATTATAAATGCGAAAGTAACTCTATCTGTCCGTGACTCTTTAATGCCTAAACCACTGAACCGATTTTTTTGTTTGGCATAGAGATACATAGTTTGAGTCCCGGGAAAAGACATGGATAGTTTTTTTTTTTTGCTAATATTATAAATGCGAAAGTAGCTCTATCTGTCCGTGACTCTTTAATGCCTAAACCACTGAACCGATTTTTTTGTTTGGCATAGAGATACATAGTTTGAGTCCCGGGAAAAGACATGGATAGTTTTTATCCCTGCTAATATTATAAATGCGAAAGTAACTCTGTCTGTTAATCTTTAATCCCTACAGCACTAAACCTATTTTGACGTTTTGTATATGAGTCCCGGGAAAGGACATAGGATAGTTTTTATACCGGTTTTTGAAGCAGTGACGCGCGCGATAAAGTTTTCTGTGACAGACAAAATTTCGCGAAAAGCCGCGGGCAAAAGCTAGTATTTTGTTATCATTATTATAATAACTTACCCAATATTTTGTTTTGCTTCGTACAGTTCCCTCTGCCATTGTTATCGTCCTCTCTGTCGTGTTTAGACGAGTGGTCCAATCTGTTCATTTCAGGTCCACAACTTCACTCCAAGTTGATGATTTTTTGACTAAACTCATTATATTGATGTATTGTCCACCTTTTTTCACTTTTGAGACTAATTTGTTATACTTTTTGACTGTTTATCATCACTAATTCATAAATATTACGCGGCCACTGTTATTTGAATAATCTCTACATAATTATGACAAAGTTTTATGCTTCTATCTGTAAATTTTTTCAGACACCAAACACTATTTCGGAATAATTTAAATATACTCAAGTTGATAACTTCTTAAACCGTTTAAAACTAAATTATGAACACTATTCTTATTTTTTAAAAGTCCACTTACTATTGTTTTAGAACTATTTACACTATTGCCTACTCCACAGAGTCCAAACTCCAAGCACTAACTTCTTTAAAAGTTTTATTTTATAACGAGGTTTAAACTTTTTTTAACAGCGCGAACCTCTTTTCGCGTGAAAATGGCGGGAAATTTTGGCGCGACACGTACGCTCTCTCCCGGCGCACAGAGTATACTGAGCATTGAGTGAGCAAGGCAAAGACATCCCGCGTTCAGCCCGTTAATCCGGCGTGCATGTATCATTCGCGGGATTACAATCCACAACGTATCTTTCGTATACGTAGACAGGTGCGGTATTAAGGGTGTCGCTTTCGATATAATGGGGATGCGACGTTGTTATTGTGTCGGTTTTTATTCCTGTTTTTATACGCAAGTTAAAATAAGTTCCAGATTTTTTTTTAAAGAAAAAGGTAAGATTTCTATGGATAAAATTATATTAGACTTGTTGATTATAATAAACATTATAATTATCTACTTATGATAAATTCAATAAAAAATTAAATGGCCAAGAACATTTTAAAAATAAAATTTTATAAGTTTACTTATTCATAACTTTATTAAATTTCTTAACTCTAAGAAATCGCTTTAAGCAATTTTTGTAAATGTGTATTAACTTTAGATTATTATTAACTTAGGTTCTTTATTTATTATTACACAATATACTTGCGTGTATTGGTTTTCATTTAAAAATTGTTTACAACAAAACCCACTTTAAAGATAAAAGAGATCCAATAAAATCTTACGGCCAAGACTAAAACGACCCTTACTGTAACGGGCAGTCATTTCACCTGTCATGGTGACATAAGATGTAACCATAAAGGATCTTATTTCTGTTTATTGAAATTTGATGGTCTATTTCGCAACGAATTCGCATTTACAGCTTAGCACTTACTCTATTTATAGCATAGTATTCGTGCAACTTTGTAAGTCAAACAAGATGGCTAGAAGCTTAATTACAGTGTATACTTAACTAATAGAATTATAGTTAAATAGTTCAGGCCACAAACTCTCTAAACTTTAGGCTCAAATGGTCAAATTGTTACAGGGTCTTCGATTTTAGAACTGCTGTATTATATTTTTATCGATTGATACCGTTAAATAAAGTCACGAATAAACGACAGTACCTCAAGTTAAGAATAGTGGTGTATTATCTCGTTGTAATACAAGATATTTTACAATAAAAATGTATATGTTGATATTCTATCGACTGTACATAAGGTGCGAAAAGGGTGAAATAATAATTCTGTACAAATTACTGGTACGTGTCGCCGCTTATTATATAAAAAAGTACGTCAGTAAGCATCAGCATTATAATATCATATCTTATAATTATTTATGCAAGAATTTTGTATCTAGTTTAGAATCCATCGCACTAATGTTTACTTGGAATTATGTATCTATCTTCACAGCCTCTATCAAAATAGGCCACTATTAACGCACAACCTAAATAAATGGCCGCTAACATCAATCAACCAACTAAAAGAGGAAATAATAGTCACAACACAACACATCACGTCCACAGCATTTCTAAATCCCCCGGGATAACCGAAACCCGGGACGTAAGGGATATACACGGATCGGGATTGTGGTTATGGTCACATCCCTACTGCCGCAGATTAGCGTTGTTTGTCGCATACGAGTGTGTGATGTGCTGTATTTGAAAAAAGAAACGAGAATGCTTTTTTATTTGAAAAAGTCGGTAAATCGGTGGTGTTACGTATTGAGTGAGCATTGTATTTGCAAAGAAAAGCGGAATATCTACATAAATGGGACGTTTTAGAAGTTATGAATACAGAGGCAGTAGCCATTATCTTTAGCCCTAAGCTGTTCATAGTGTAACGATGGGTACATTAGGAGTAAAATATAGCCACACGTTACGAAAAATACCATTCAACATGCGTTGAATATCAATATCCAAGAGGTACTTTATTGGTAAACGTGGCGATTGTATTTATAGTGAGAATTATTACTCATCAAAATAAAATAATTATGTAATTACTTATTTCTCTATCTCAATCTGTAGAAGTAAAGGACTATATTTAGAAGTTATAATTCAAAATCAACTCAATTCAACAAGATAAGAAATCCGATAACCGCCTGCTAATTCTGTAAATTAACTTGTTGATAGTTTCCATATAAAAAAATCCATAAGTCTTAAAATAGCGATCACAGTAGGTATCTTTGATAGGCAAAACAATCGAAATTCATACAGTCTCCAATCTACCCAAATTGGTAGTAGGTACCTGCTTAGTGCCTAACAGATTGTGCAATTCTAATGCCCGAATGCGCAGTGTGCACAATTTGCCTCTGACAGAGAAATGCTTTGGGATCTCTGAAATTTGGGATTGCTGGATGCGTTGGTTACATTTGTGAGCTAACTGGGAATTGTACAGTTAGCGTCAAATAACACCGGTCAACAAAAAGAAATATTTTTTTTGCACATGGATTTTACTTATTATTCTGATTTAATATGTATAAAGCAAATTTGTATAAAAAAGTGCGATTACAAATTGAAAATATTTGCTTTTTAAGAAGTTATAGCGGTTTGAATTTTCCATTTTCATAGTAGAATGTCTAAAGACGTCACATTCTCATTGGGAAACATTTACAAATTCAGAACATTTTTTGTTGTTATTCTTATTTTTCTAGGTATTCAAGTAATGAAAATAAGCTATGCATAACCCGTGCGCAAAAATACTATATACCTACAGTTGTAATTCGTGACACTCAAAGTAGCCAAAAAGTTCGCAACACGTCTTTGTTACAATGGAATAAGGTTATGTTGTCCACTTTTTGGCTACTTTAGGTGTCACGAACTATTTGATGCTGACTGTACCTAGAGATGATACCACATTGAACTAAATACAGTACGTTATCTCTTTGTAATACGAGCTATTTTGCATCAAAATGTATAGTCGGATGTGCTGACTAGGTACGTTACAACAGCATAGAGTGATTATTTTGAGTATGAGTATGGTTTTTGTAGAAGATAGAAAAGGACAACTAAAAATTCTATGTAAAACGAATTAATACTTATGCCTAAAAAACCCCCAATTTTCATATTAATTTTACATGTGGGACAAAGTAGGGCGATTCGCCAAGTAGAAAAACTCTTGGCGTTAAGTAATACTAATTTTGAGTTTCATCAACTGGACACACGTTTGTCCAGTCTCTTGTGTGTCTCGTGTGTCGAGTTGGTGAATTAAAAAGTATCTAAATAAATTAACTATTAATCAAATACGTAATAAAAAGATAAACATTTGACTACATTACGTACAAAAAATTCACTGCAAAATAGTTGAGCCGCTGTTAACTTTCAAAAGCAATTTTTTCGCCTTTGCGCGTTAAAAATGGCTTATAAAAAACTTAAACTACATTCCCGTCCCGGAGTCCCGGTAATCCGTGCCTATTCCCGCGGGACTCGTAAAAAAGAAAAAACCAATCGGCAAGTGAAAAACTGGGTAATGTGTATAGTAGAATTAGAGCACAGAATTCCGTATAAAAGAGAAACAGTTTTTATGGACGCAATATAAAGTTTCGCAATGAAATTTACGTTCGTAATAGGTGTTCTCAGTTCCCAGGATTTTTTCTAAGACAGAAATATTCCCGGTAACGTTCCCAGTTCCCATATTATAATTGATATTGATGATGATGAATAATGACGATAAAATTATTTCTATTTATGAAAAAAAAAACTAAACCTACGAACTAGGAGACAACTATTCAACAGTTTATGATCTAATATTCCTAAATCCCGCTAAAAAATGGAAGATAATGTATTTCTTTTATTTTAAATAAGTAATCTTCATTTTTTAAATTAGATAAATCATTTTGACAAACAAGGAACCCAAAAACACTTATTTCTCCCCCATAAACGGGGCGTAAACCTTAATGTTTTGAGTCGCATAAAATCAAAATAGTCCCTTGCTCCCTCTCTATCTTTAAAGGGCTATTTATGGCCTCCAGAGAGGGGGGGCCTAATCATGGGGGTTCAAATATCGGTGTATTGGCAATAATTGATGTTTGGGCGTAGTTAAGTATGTATGAGATTCAGTATGAACTAGTAATTGTCAATCTATCTACAGTCATCAACTAACGAGAAAATTCTAACCTAACATTAACGGTAACTATGACGATAACTGGTGCTTTTTGTATGGAGTTGTCAGATTTTTGACGTTTGTTAAAGTAAGATGGTGCAACCCAGCTTAAGTATTTCACCAAAGTAATCATTGCGTTTTTTTCTAAATAACTATAAAAAATGTAAACTTATCACAGTTTGTCATTATGTACCTACCTACAGCAGACGACAGCTCATCAAGGNATTTCAGGTAAGTAATATCGTCAATTTCACACAATTCATTTATTCTAAATGTATATTTTCGTTTTTAAATTTATTAAACCCTTAATCATTATTAAAATATCCTAACTCGATCCATAAAACCTTATCCCGAAATAGGGGACATGAGTTCACGAACTTAGAATCAGAGCAAAATTTTATCACGAAACAGGATCCAAACAAGAGGTGCACAGAACAATTAATATTAAAAAAAGTTCAAACTATATAACTATAATTTATGTATTAAGTTACTGTCGAAAGACCATAGTTTAGCATACAAAAGCTTTCATACTGATATCATGCTTGGTTATTTTTTAATAAAATGTTAAAGTCGTAAGTGCCTTAATATACCGAAGTAGGGGGCACTTACCTTAAATACTGTGGCATCTTATGTACCCCATCCTCCAAAAATGGTAGGCACATACTTCTTCTTCTTTTCGTGTCG